GGGGGGGGGGGGGGGGGGGAAGCGCTTCCCAGCGAGAAGAGCGGGTGGACGCCGGGGGAGCCGTGGTCGTGCGGTGGGTCGGAGCCTCGGGGTGGGCCCAGGCTACTTTCCACTTGAGGTCCCCCCCAGAGCGCTACAACAGGACCAGAGCGAAAGGAAACGGGCCCGTGGCTGCTGGAGCCCGCGGGCGCTGCTTGTACTGGGGGCTCAGATTGGCAGGGGGGAGGCACGGCTGTTAGCGGGCGTCGGAGAGAAATACTCCGGCCTCCATCAGGACTCAGAGCGGGGAGGAAGCGCCCGGCTGTTTAACAGTACTCTCGGCAATAAATAAATTAATTCTGAAGTCACCTCTACGGTTGCAGTTGGCAGCGGGTGCAGCTCAGCGCCGGCAAGAGGCTGATGGGGGTGGCTCGCAGGGGGGGCGCTGTGCTCGCCCTGATGGGAGGGTGGCCGGGGAAGGAGGGTTGGTGCTCCCCGGGGGTCTGGGCTGAGAGGAGCAGCAAGCTCAGCCAGCCCCCGGCTTCCCCAGGAGCTCCTCACATCCCACCGGGACCTGCCTTGCCGAAGTACTTGTGCACAACTTCCAGGAGGAAACACGATCGCGTGGGTCGGTCACGGGACTGGGAACGGGATGTTCTGGGCAGGGGGCGAGGGGCGTCCACGCTCCTTCTCGGCCTGAAGCTCCCCGAGCACGGGTCCCTCTGTCCCCCCTCAGCGGTGGAAGGGTGCCGAGGGCCACCACGAGCAGGACGAGGAGCCGGGGACCATCTGCCCAGGGAGACGCTGCCGGCACGGCTGAGTCTGCCCCACACGGGGCGACTCCCACCTTCAAAATTCACTGGAAAAGCCAAACCCCCAAGTGCCAGTGTGTAGCTGCTCCAACAGCGCTGCAGCAGTTCCAAGATAATAATGTGTGGAGTAGCTGCAGCCCTCATTTTACAAGACTTAATGAATTTTTAAAATTTTATGACTAGCTCCAAAAGTAATGGCAACTTCAAAAAGTTTTCATTTTCTATTACTTCTGATACCTGAATTTTTACAGACCTTTCCCAATTTCACTTAGTGATCATAAGAACAAGAAGCTTAACCACTTTTTAAAAAATTAAATTCAGCTTCTTAAATAATGAAACTGCCTTGGAAATCCTGTTCTCAGCCTGTTTGCCGTTGAGGAAGAGAGGTGAGGGTCAGTCTGGTGCGTACCCGTGGTGTGCTCCTTCACATGGGCTTCAGCTCGGGGACTGGAGTCCCCCCACCTCTGTCCCAGACTTTCCCTGCCCGACTCCTCGCTCCCCGTCGCCCTAAAGGGACGCTGCGCTCCCTGGGCACCCCAGACCCACAGCACAGCCTCCCTCACCGAAAAGGAGAGCTCTTGTGACGGGACAGCACCTCATCCCACCCCACAGCCGAGCTGCAAGCGAGCACCTGACACCCTCCCCTCCCAGTTCCGCGCTCAGCGCACGCCCACAAGCCAACACTCAACAAAATCCTCCAATTCTGCAACAGCAAAGACACTGCTCCCTCCAACAGACACAACAAGCGATTTGCCCAAAGCCCCAAGAGAGCTGAGAACAACCTGGGCACGAGGAACAGCCCCGAAAATCCTCCTGGCGACAAGGCTGGAGGATGGGAGAGGCACAAAGAGAGAGGTTCACCCGTCTCACACCACGGGTGAATGGAACAGCGTGTTCCCTGGCAGGACACGGCCCGTTTACTATTGCGGTTACTGCTGGTTTATAGAGGGTGTCTGACAGCTCATAAAAGTGCCAAGTGTCTCAGGTACCTGACTCGGCTCTTTACCAGCATCGCCCTCTCCCCCAGACAACCTGGCTGCAGACAAGTGTACGTGGGTGAAGGGGTTTCTCCTTGCTGCAGCAGCAGCGCAGGCGCTGGGAGACTCGGCTGGGCGCTGCGTGGGAGCAGGCATGGAGCTGGGCAACGAGATGGGCAACTGAGCTGGGCAACCGAGCTCCCCAGGGAAAGGGCTTCACGAATCGCAGCCAAACGACAGCCCTGAGAAACCCCAACTCAATACAGTGGCAAATTTCCAATTCATTTGGGGATTTTTTTAAATAGACTTTTCAAACTCTGAAACAAGAGTAAACACCTTACTGAAAACTTTGCAAGATAAAAAGCCAAACATTCCAGAAAATAACATTTTGCTTCCCTGCTCTGAAATATTTTTAGATGCCAAAATTCACAAAACCCCAAAACTGTTTATAAAGCACCTCTGCTCTTCTCACCTCCCCAGACTGCAGTTTGGCAGTAAAACATCACCAAAGACCAGCTGAGAACAGCAAAGAAATCCAATTCCACTCAAAAAATACACCGCTGGTAAAATACAGGCCTGTATCAGCACGGCACATGTGTGCTACAAACCACAGAAAAGATGTTGGGCGCCGAAAGCAGATGTGGGACCGTGCAGAAGAGCACAAGCAGCCAGGGGAGAACACAGCGGGCTAACGAGGCCCAGGAGGAGCAGCACAAATGCAGCAACATGGGATGAGAAATGAGAGCTGGCCACAAGACAGAGGCTGCCGGGGGAAAAACAAACCAGCCAAAAAGTAAAGACAGCAGAAAGATTTGTGGGTCGGGCTCAACACCGATTCAACCAGCCTGAACTAAGTCAAGGAAAGAAGAGACAAAGACATGGACATCACGTAAGGAATTATTCCCCCAAGGCATCTGGTGGTAAAACGGAGAAAACTGCAGAAGCAGGTCCAGATAAGGGGAGGAAAGATGGGTTTTCCCCCTCCAAAACAGAGGGGTCCACACGTGAGGCTTCACGCAGCGGTCTCACAGAGCCCGCAGGCCAGTTCTGGGACCTCTTTGTATTCTGTCGGGTTTCCTCCTGAGAAAGCCCACTCAGGCTAGACAAGTTGTTTTACAAAGATCTATACACCAGGCTTTAATAAATTCTACAAGAAAGCAACGCTTTCATTAAATTTCTTATAAACTCCATCGCTTTCAGTGGAATACATTAATTGCACAAGGAACAGCCTACAAAACTGGTTTTATTCTCAGGCTTGAGCTTGATCATGCCTCACCCTCTAAGTGATGAGACTGTCTTCCTGACTGTGCGAATAATGACAGACTTGAGCAATGACAACTGCCTCCAGGTAGAAAAGCTTCCAATCAGCCCATCTTTGTTGCACCTACCCCGTAATTTTAGATTCAGAATTGATTAAGTTTTCTGAAAAAGCCAGTCATCTTACCGCCATGAAGCATGAACTCTCCCGCAGCCGGCAGACCGTTTCTAGTCAGAAGCCAGCAGTGCCCAGCCTACTCAAGGTCATCCAGATGCTTTCTGTAAACCTGGCTGTAGGACATCTTTCCTCTAAGGATGGAACCATGGAACAAGCTTTTCCTAGACAAAGGCATTTATTAAAAGTTATTCAGAAATAACTTCCCCTAATCTCCAGGGACAGTTTCAGTGTCCTCGCCGAGTTTTAGTGCCGCAAACGCGGGGTGCAGAGCTCCGGCCCCGAGGCCGTGGGGCAGCAGGGCTGTCACAGCTAACCCTCCAGGCCCCTCATGGCAGCGATGCTGCTGGCCAGCCGGCGCGGCACGCTTTTGGCAGCTTGGCGGTAGTCCTCTGGCTTTGCCTTCAACAGAGTTACAATATTTTGCAGTGTTCTTGATGGCTGAAGGCCGAGGGCATCCATCACGTTTATGAGATAATCTGTAAGATTAAGGATAAACACGTATTTGAACGGGTAACAGACACTGTGCAAATGGAAGCTACCCTTCGCTCATCACGGCTGCTGGAATCCTGCCACTGCCAGCTCAAAGCCACAGAAAATGGCAGCGTGTGTGGAGTCTCACTGTACTGACTGGTGTGTATTTCTGGCTTCCTGCACACTGGTTTAGACAACCATCTGTTTTGTTCTGAGGACTGAGACACGTTCTGCCACGTTTCAGTATCTGCACACAAACACCCCCGGGGCGGTCAGTCACCGGTCCCCGATAAAGGATCATCCTCACACTGCCAGAGGCACGGAGCCTGCAGGGCAGCGGGACAGCTCTGCGGAGCCGAACGGCTGCTGAGGCAGGAGGGAGTTCCAGCTCACTGATTCAAAGTCAGTTGGGGAATTCGGGATGGCAGCGAGAACGCTGAGCAACCAGCCTCTAATCCACTGGCTCGTTTTTAAGTAATGCCAAGGGAAAAAAAAAAAAGATTCAGGCTGAGTTCAGTGGCATTCAAGCAGACCGTCAGGTGAGCTGAGGAGGAGATACTGTCTGTATCCTTATTGTTGAGCTTGGCCGTGGGGAAGTCAGCACCCACGATCTGCAGCAAAGGACGGACTAACTGGCGTTTACAGCGGCTGTAGCGGTCTCGAGGTGACACTTCCATCAGCTTTGGATAAGAAAACTCCATCTCCTCCCTATCCTGCGGAAACACCTTCCCCTACACCTTCCATCAGTCCTCACACAGCGTGTGGTGCGGGCGAACACCACGGGCCAACTGGCTCCTGTTTTGGGGCTGAAGATTTCTGCACGATGAAAGTAGCTTTAGTCACCCGGCACCGCCGGAGCAGCAGGACATAGAGTTAAGCCATGCAGGGGAGCTGATCCGGTGGGTTTTGTAAAAAAGGATGCTGGTCCAGTATTCCACAATTACTCTTAGAAGGCCTTTAGCTGATCTCCCCTACTTCAGCTATCAAGTAGATGGAAAAATCAACCAGCCATGGCCCACTGGAGCACGTCCCAGCAGGCCTGGCACGTGCTGTGTCCCCTGGCATGTCCTGGCAGAACGCAGATGAGAGGGGACAGAGCTGTGCCACACCTGAGAAGAGAATACACACCTCTTTCTTGCTAAGGCTGGTGCGTAGGGGAATCCTCTCGGTTCAGAAGGGCTTTGACACTCAGAAGCACAAAGCAGTGAAGAAGCAAGTACATACTGAACACCACTCCTGCCTCGAAAGAGGGAGGCGAGAGGACGCTCTGTGAAAGAGCAGCTGTGCAGCACCCCGCCACGCCGGGGTCAGCCCCGCTCACGACCAACGGAGAAACCCTCACTGCAGTTCTCTTCAAACCTCGGGAGGGACAGGGCAGCCCACGTGTTAGAGCATCAGCACCGGGCTTACCGATGTCGGTGGCAAGCTGCTTGGCCGAGTGGGCTGAGAGCTCCGGGATCTGCAGGATGACCTCGCAGTAGGTCTGCATCGTGGCTCGGGCGATGGAGCCCAGCCAGTAGTCAGCCATGTTGTCCAGCTCAGGTAACTCATCTCCTGCACAGAAAATTCTTGTTAGCCGTCAGCAGTCCCACTCGGCTGCATTTGCTGGTTTTGTAAATAGAATTCATCAATGGTTAACTGCTTCTTCAACAGGACATTAAGTTAACCAGTTTATCAGCTGGTTTTGGAGCAGTCAAAACAGTTACACACCTGCCCTGCTGCTATACAACAGTGAAAGTCAGCCCAAGACCCAAACCACTTGAGTTCCCTCTATTACGTCTCTGAGGAAGTAATTCCGAAGGGCTGATCCGTGCCGGGGTCAGGGGCACTGCCTGGCACCTTCTACAGGGTCACCTCCCAGGAGTAGTTTACCAACTACTGCAATGACAAGGATTCACAGGGGATTTTTCAAGCCCTAAAGGCCTTCTGTGTTCGTTGGTGTTTGGGAAATTAATGAGCTATTAAACACGTACGTGCTTTAAGATGACAGAACAAGCAATGCAAAAACCTGCACTGAAGAGCACATTCTCAGAAGGCTGCAGGAAGACTATAAATACCAAGCTCTACACTTCCCTGATTGTCAGTGGAAATAAACACTGAGAAGAGATTAACCACAGCAAACCCTGGTGCGCTGCCAGCTGCCGGGGCTTTATGTAGCTACTGTGGTTAACTGCAGCAGGATTAACGACACAGCAGGTAAGGACAGCCACCTGGGGAACGAGCACAAGCCAAAACTCAGCTTGCTGCAGGACACTGAGGAAAGACAGGCAGGAAGAACTCCTCGTGTGTTCTGGGGGGAAGTTTTGCAGAGGCACCTGGGCTGCACCCGCCAGCAGAACCCCCCCGCTGCCCTCGGCACGGGGCTTAACCCTGCGGCTGGGTCTGACCGCTAAGGACTTGGGCAACACTGGAGCTCTAACGGTTTTTCAGCTGGACTTTATCTAGGATGAAAAAGGAATTGAAATGAAGTGGTCAGCATTCCAGAACTGTGCCCTGACAGAGCAAGAATGGGACTACAGAGACTAGAACACAGGTCGGGCTGTTAAGAAAAGAAATTCCCAAAGAAGCAAAACCTGTCCAAAACAAGACAGAGAAGCAGACCAGCTCCCGGCTGTGGGCTCCCAACCTCTTAACAGAAGGGTGCAGGTTAGCTCCTCATGCAGGGTGTAACAGTACTTTTCCCTGGATTTACAGAGAAAAGAGGCAGAGGAAAAAAGCTGTTTACAGGTGAACATCATTACTATCCTGCTTGAGAACAATCTATTCCTGAAGAAAGGAACTCAGGGGCTCCTCTTTTTCTAGCAACAAATGAAGGGGCTGGTGGTCCTCAGCAAGGCCATGGAGGACAGTGTATTTTATACTACAAGTGGCTAGTGTAAAGTTAGGCTTACGGGACATTATCTCCAGATTTCTCTAGGGCCTGAGGCTGGAAAGCCTCAGCCTCATACCAGCTTAGTTCCAGGCAGCAGCTGTTGCAAGAGTCGCAGCTTCGATGCTGTCTGGGGTAAGAATACACCGTATGATCACCGATGCAGGGCTGTTTGCTTCAGCAGATGGGGACCCTGCACCAAAACCACAGTTTTAATAGACACTAAACTTAAACAGACCAAGCTAAAGCTTCTGTTTGGAACAAAGCTGAAAGTTTTACTCATTTAGAGGCTCCTTCTGGGTATTACCAAGAGACTCTTGGAAGAAACAGCACGACCAGACGATAGGAAATGGATCTCAAAGAGCTTTGATACCATAACACGTCGCACCCACGTAACGTCAAAGTGGAAAAGCTTTCCCCCGGATGCTTCAAGTCTTTGGTTTCACCCTACCTTGTTCTGGGGGGTAAGGCAGTTTTCCAGCATGCAAGGCCAGCTCCAAAGCAGAATCCTCTTGAGTGACAAACGGCTCAAGGTGGAGAGGAAGCGACATAATATATTGCCCAATCTAGAATAAAAACACAAAAGAGCTGTCACTAAAGAAATGTGAAGCAAGTACTTTGCTAGACAAAAAAAGTCAACTGCAGTAATCCACACCTGAAAGCAGAAAGCTGAGCTTGACAACAACTCCCTAACCTACATTTGCTCAGAAACCAATTGGCTCTTTCTCATTATTACACTTTGTACAAGAAATAATTTTTCGTGAGGTCAGAGAACCAGTCATTGAAACAGCCATGTTAAGAAAAACTGTGCAGAGAATTGTTACTCCAAGCAAATCTTTGATCTCTGGAGTGTTCCTGGCAATTTGTCTTCTAGAGCAGAATTTAAGACACTGAACCAAATGAAACTACTGAAGAAGAAATACATATTTAAGTGATAATACAATAATGAATTACAGAAACGTATCGCTCCCAAGAAGGGACCAGGCTCACAGATTTGCACATGAGCTACGTAACTTCAGGCACACAACAAATACTGTGCTGCTTACGAATGATTATCTGCTGGTACAGAGAATCTTCCGAGGTGCAGGTACAGCTCCGAGTCCTCTGCCTCCCCATTACAGAGCACGCTCATTAACAGCTTTTCCCAGAGCTCCCATCACCCGCCTTTCCGTCCTCACAGCACGCATGACACATCAATTTGTTTGTCAGCTCTACTTTATTCTTTTTAGTTTTCAATTTTACCGTACGATGCAGCAGTGTTATTTTAAGACTACTCAAGAGAAAGCCTTGGCTCAGTCTTGGCCCGCCTATCAACTCGGCAGCAGGATCAAGGGTAGATCCGAAAAGATGTCAGAAAGCAAATGCTTTGTATCTGAAATTTTCTGAAGTTCCTCTTTGCCTTGGACGGGCAGAAACGTCCTTTGATTCCTCACAGAACCAAGTAACGATCATAAACATCTTGGTTTTAACTTTCAGCTGAAGTGGCAGGTGAGCAGATTCAGCCTCTTCCCGCCGCCCCTTCTCTTGGCGAGCTGTGTTAATTAAAAAGCTACTTACAATTCAGTCACAACCTGCCCTTGAAGTTCTACCTCATACACTGCCCATGACCTTTCTAAACCTCGTACAAGTCTCTCCGATAGCTACATTCAAACTACCCATGATAAAACTGTCCCACAAATTGACTGACTACCCATTTCTATACATTTTTTTTTTTAAAGCTTTAAAAGCAGAGTGTAACCGTTTGTAGGCCATAAGCCAGAGGAAATCAAAATATTAAAAGCTTTTGATTGCAGCCTGTCCTGGAAAAATCCATTCCCCGTGTGACACACAGAATGACAGTAACACAAAAAACTTGCTTAGCAAATTCTACTTTGTACGGAGATAATAATAGCAGCCAATATTAATATCTGGACTGCAGATCTGGCAGCGACTTGAAACGCCGGGCAGGAGCAGGGAGAGCACTGTGCCCGCCGTTCAGCAGCCGAGCTCAGCAGTGCCAGAAGGAATGAACAGCTCGCTCTCCTCTTCCACTCAGACACCCCACGGCCAGAAAGGTTTCATTGTTATTCCATCAGAAAGAGAAACCAGGGAGTCACGTGGGGATTAGAGGGGTAAGAGCTCAAGACTTTAACTTTGTAGTGCGATGAAATCACACCAACACACACTGCAGGAACTCCTCCGCTACAGGACCTGCAGCATTGTGAAGATCCACTCAGTAATCACCCCTACCACCAAAATTTGGCATTTCCCACCCCAGAGAGAACACTGCAAACAGCGCAGTTCAACAGAGAAGAGCCACTCCTTGTGCTCCCGATGCTCTTCTGCTATTCCAGAACTTGACAGGGATTTCATAACAGCTGCAATGAACGGCACAACCCTACTGATAGGGGCTGGACCACCGAGAGCATCTGTCACCATCATGTAACAGTTTTAGAAAATATCACTATTTTACGAAGAACTGGGGAAACACAGACAAGATTCCCCCAGCACGGGGCCCCAGTAAGTACCCTTGTGTGCTCTTACATTGCTGATATATTCCAGAGGAGTCAGGCTGAAGTTTGGCAGGTCATCTGTCAGGGTCTCACCAAGGCCACCAGAATTCCAGCCCTGTGAGGCAAAAAGTGCAGAAAGAATCTGAGTTTCTGGTGTGTGAAGTCTATCGGTGTTCTAGGAGGGGGTCACCAGTGACACGAACTGTTGGCTACCCCAGGACCTCTCGAAAGCAGAACACAGATGGTGAGAAAACGGCTTCCCTTGTCCTCCCTCAGGCCCAAGGCACACCCCCCCTTTCCACACAGCTCCCCGTGGGAAATACAGGCTCACACAGGTTAGAAGAGCAACACCTCAAACAAACATCAGCGCCTGCAAACATAGCTGACTGTTGTGAATGCTGGGGACGAAGGGAGGTAAAACTGTTCCACTGACTGCAGCTCACAGAAGAAACATGATACCAGAGGGAAACATTCTGAAAAGGAGAAAGGTAAGCAACACTGAGCTGTACTCCACCCCGAGGCACCCCACGGGTAAACCCTGCCAGCGCGGATCAGGTGGATGTGCCCACTGCTCACCTCCATCTTCGAAACGAGTAAGAGTTGTTGTTTGATCCGAAGAAAAACAGAATCAAAAGCCAAGTGGTGTGCCAGCTGGTTGAGGCGGCTGAGGGCAGAGCGTGATGAAGACAGCAGGTTGTGGTTACTCGTACCTTTTTCCTAATGCACACGCAGAGACACAGAGAAATGTTTTCATACACAAGTCATTAAACCCACCCCAGAGGAGCTATGTTAACATTCTTCAGGAGGTCTGTATTAGGCCACCCTAACACAAAGGAGCTTTCCTCTGCAGTGGCACAGCCCATTTCCTTTGGGATGCCCCATTACCACAAGTTATTCAAGACAGACATGGGCAATGCTCCCTGAAACGTGAAACAAAGAATCAGGATCCCATTCCGCCATGCCAGGCACCAGCACAAGCCAGATACTGAGAAACCTGCAGGGACGATGGCAGAACCACCTCCTGCTCAAAGGGCACCACTAACCGATGCCATGCAGGGAATTACACAAACATTTTACATGAAGGGGACCTCCAGAACTTCAGTATTTAGCAAAGGTTTAATGTCGAACATCCAACACTGAAGGCAGAGCTGCACAAGTTGCAGGTAAATTAAGTGCAAGAGAAATCAAAACACTCTGAGGAAATAAGAGACAGAACTCATAACCTTGGCTTCACCACTACATGTGACTGACGATGGCAAACATAACTTAGATCCCCAGGAAGATAACCAGAGTCATTCTACTCTGTTCACAGATGCATGCATGAATGATCTGGCAGAATTGTATTTCAGAATGGATATGGCAGCAGAGAGTAAGTGGCAAAGAAAGTCTTGAGAAGCCAGTACGTGGGCTCCAGAATTTGAGATGGCTCCAACACAATCTTCCCAGTGCGTCCTGTGACAAAATCTCCCCCACCTGAACCGGTGAAGTATGTTCACAAAACCCAGCCAGGATCTGGGGAGAGGTGGAATGAGCCCAGACTTCCTGGGTTTGGACATTTCACCTCTCTGCAGGTCAGACAGTGTCTCTGTGGGAGACTTGGAACACAGCCCACCAAAGCTCAGGATGAAATGTAATCAGGCTGCAGGGGAATCCTGCGCTCACCCACAACCGTGGGCCCAACAGCACCCCGTGAGAGAGCCAGGCTCTCCCAGGCACCACGCTACCTTCAGAGTGTAAAGCGTTTCCATAAGGCTGGCATACTCGGATGGATTCTCCTTCAGAAGATAATTGTATTCCTGCCAGGGATTCTTTACAGAGCTCTTCTTTTCTGCAGAACTGCTATCCTGAAAGCCAGAAAAACTACAAGGGCTGTAGGAGTCCGAGAGATACTTCCCAGCAGTTGATAAAATCCTGAAAACAAGTACACAGAAATCACCAGCAAAATCCTCAGGGATCAGCCCTGTTGCTCTCACGTTGGTCCGAGCACCAGCACCACCTTTATGTTACTGCAAGGATGAGCGCTCACGGCTGGCAGGCACCAACTACAGCCAACTCTCACGTCTACTGTGCAACTCAAAAACTGCGAAAATATTGGAATGAAAAAGAGAGGACCGTGCTCTCAGGATGTCTAGCAAATACGGAACAAGCCGAGGCTCCTGTGTGCTGCAGGCCCGTGTCCCACACGAAGCAGAGGCACTCAGGTCAGACTAAAGCATCTCAGCATACGAGAGGCTGAACAGGGCTTACACACAGCGGAGGATCTTCGTGCTGCCCGTGCCCAACGCTCCTCAAGTTACAGGGAAGGGATCACTTCAGGCACACCTCGAGTCACTTCCGCAAATGACTCACGCCCCAGGTCACAAGGGGAGTGAGGATCTTGCCAATTTGACCTGGTGGAAGTTACCTCCCGGGGCCCAGCCCGCTGGCTGCCCAGCCAGGGATCCCAGGGGAAGGATCCCCGCGAGGGCCCGGGACAGTCTGTGACCTGCCTCTGATGTTTCAAGAGATGGGCAGGAGCACTGGGGGCAGATCCCAGCAGCTCTGCTTTCCCTCCATGCTCTACGCGACAGCAGTACCTTGGGGTTTGTTTTCTTTCTACTTGGTACCTATGCTGACAGGTCGTGAGTTACGTTCAGCAGCTCACCTGTTGGCCAGCTGCTGCTCAAAGTCTCCGCACTGACGAAGGAGCTCACCGCAGGTTGTGATTATCCTGGGAAGGATGAGACAAACACACAACGTTGTGAGATTTGAGGCAGGTAATACCAGAACCTTCCCCCCCCTCTGAAAACCCATCTCAGACATGTGTCAAGTAATTATAAAACACCATAACCAAACCACAGTGCACAGGGGACACGTCTGTCAAGAGTTAATCTGGCTTTAACTCAGCATCCATCTGATAACATGCTGAATTTTTTTGCCCAACAGCCTCATCCACACGCTACTTCTTGTCACCATGGCTAAGGCCACCTCAGTGTCACCGGGAAAAATTCTAAGCGCTGGTGACATTTCCAGCAATATGACATAGAGCCTTGCTCCAGACAGGGTGGGGAGCCTCACAGCACTCACCGTGCCAGCAGCAACCTGAAACCCAGGCACTGAACTAACGCTCCCCACAGCTACGCGGGCATAGCCCTGCCTTCTGCGCTAAGAACTTGTGTAAACTGACCCCAAGTAACTCCCTTTCAACTTTGATACAAAAATCAGTTCTGAGCTGTGCAAAAAAAAAAATAATAATCCCCTTTACCGGACAGAGTTTTGGAATGCAGTCCAGTCCTCCTGGAAAAGGGAATCTGATAGGACATCATCCAGTTTACATTTCTTTCGTATAGACTGCAAAGTATTTGTAAAGTCAGATGTATACCTGTGAGGAGAAATGGGGAGAAGCACCAGCATAAGAGGATGGCTTAGAGAGCAGCGGAACTGCACATCCTGTGATTTATCTGTCCAGTCCTCTACAAGGGCCAAATAAGAACCAGAAATATTAAAAGCAGTTCAGAGAAGACACTGTTGTTCCAGTCCAAACACACGGGTGCGAAGAACTGCTCAGCCACAGCCCACTCAAGCCCACACTAGGAGACAGGGAGAAATGCAGAGTAACAGGTACTGTGTGGCTTCAATGTGCTGCATGTGGGTTACCAGGAACTCTCCACTCCCATGATAAGGTACGAGTAAGACATTTTTGTTACCACAACACTAATCACATCTCCTAGGAAAGGCCAGAAAAAGTTTATAAGGCTACTTCTAGTCCAACATCACTTGGCCCTTACTCCAGGAACACAGTGACAACAATCTCATGAATTTGTTTTCTCAGCTACTCCCCAGATGAGAACATGGATAAAAAGAAGAACATTTTGTTTTCCACACACCCCCTGTTTTTTTTTTCTTTTAAATAATGCCCATAAGCAGGAGGTAAGCACATTACCCATAAAGAAGGTGAGATCAGAGCAGTGCGCTCTCCTCCTCCCCACGGGGCACCACGATAACAGTTTGGTTTATACCTTGTGAGCAGCTCTGTCGTTATCAGGAACTACGGAGTGAATGAGGGCTGGCACGCTGCCTAAGCGAGCTGTCAGCGACACTTTAAGATAAGAACTTCTGTTGAACCTTCCTCACTGGGCCATCTCACCCCTGCAGGTGGATTCTGCATGTGAGGTCACTTGTCCCAGTATTTCCCCACTGAGATCGACTTCCATCGGCCTCATCTGTCTTTGTCTTATTCAGGAAACATTTTCCCCTTCAAAGGCATTTATTAAAAATGAAAATTCAGCCCAGCTAGCACACAAGACAGCTAAGGAAAGTCTTCAATTTAGCCCTAAAACGCTTCTATTTTTCTCCCTGAGAAAGAGCCACTGCTCGAACGAAGCGGTAGGAGGGGACATCAGATGATTCATGTTTATAGATACTTTCCACTCTCGGCCGGTTTTCACAAACTACAACGTCCTTGGCCCCACACCAAACACGTGCGACTCCCTCCAGGTAAAAGCAGCAGTGTAACCAGAAGCACCTTACTTTGTGAACAGAGCCTTCAGGGCCTTGAGGAGCCCACCGACGCCCAGCCCGTCCGTGAGTTTAACGCAGCTGTCGATGGCTCCAGAGGCCAGGATGAAGAGTTTGTTGACGGAATGGTTCAGTTCCTGGACACAGTCGATTACTTCCCAGTGCTCCTAAATTGAAACAACAGAGTTGAGCTCGACTCATCTTTCGGTGAGCGTGCAGGCGTTAAAGAAAAGACACTTTCTGTAACACGCTGCTCTCTGTATCCTCCAACCTCGCCAAACGCTTACGGGGAGAACAACGCTGGTTGCTTCCACCCTCCTGCACAGTCACTGTTAATAAAAGTCAGGCTGCCAAATCCTACATTTACCAGGTCCTCAAGGAAAAATAGTTCTGCCAACAACAGAATCTTCTACAAAAAAGAAAGACTTTCCTCCCCCAGCTCCTGTTCTTAATAAATTTTATCGAACCTGGCGCAGGCTCCTGGCTGACAGTACTATTTTGGTGAAGTCTTTCTCCAGCAGATCCACACAGGGCCAGTTACTGGGTGAAGGAGAGGAAGAAAGGGACCTCCAAGCCAACAAGGCTGCCGAAATTAACTTTATTTCTTAAACAAAATTTACTTAGCAGTAAAAAAATATACTGCAAACAGGAAATATTACAAAAAAAAAATAGAGGAGGAAAGAGCAATAACTATGACAAGGGTCTTTGTCTTTAGCAGAAGCTTCAAGCCTCGCTGTAGCTGAACAGCTGGCTGCCTTACCAAGGGCACGGCACTGATCTGAATGAGGAGATTTTCTTCTTCCAGGTCTCCATACTGCAGCTGATAGGGCTTGTACGGACCATACACTGCTTCCACCAGCTCCATCACTTTTACCAGGTTCTGCTCCTCTACAAAGAATCAGATGTTTAGTCTACAAATAGATCAACACGCTACTAAAAACCTTGTTTCAAGCAACATGCAGTAGTTCTTCAATTAGAGCATGCTGCCTACACAGGCTTGGAATGCTGCCCAACAGCTTTACATCTCAACTACTCAGATTATTTTTTTTTCCATTTTTTTGAAAACAAGGTTATTATCTCTACCTGCTTCCTAAAACCAAGATGTTCTACCTCAACAAGTGCCTCAAGAAAATTATCACTCACTGCTCCGAAACAGCCTGGGTGACAAAAATCTATTAAACATTCCAACCTACAGTAGAAGGAAAGTATTGAAACCATTTGTGAAGTGAAACACATTACTCCCACAACTTAAAACAGGGGCAATCCTCATTTATCAGAAAACCTGGTTCATACTTAAAGTAATTGACACCGAACTCAATTCACTTAGCACTACTACTGTAGGAGTTCATCGACCAGAGTTCAACGCGGACCACGAACTTCGCACTTCAGTGCCGCTCTGTCGAGCGGGGAGCTGCAAACCCAAACTAAAACCAGGTCTGAACGATTATTTCTCAAATTAGAACTGGACACCAGCTGTTATTGTGAAGATTTGCCAAACTCAGACTGGCAGGAAACCATAACTACTTCGAATCCTCGATGCAAGAGAAAACGTCTGTGCCCTAAGGACGGGCAGGCGAGGGAGCGGGTTGCCCGAAGCCTGTGCTACTGCCGTGGCCGGGGGTTTTCAAGGTCAGACTGAACAACTCCCTGAGCAACATGGTCTGAGCCCATAGCGGACCTGGCTTGGAGCAGGAGGTTGGACTAAATCATCTCCCAAGGTCCCTTCCAACCTGAACGATCTGTGAATCACCACTGAACCCTCCCCTCACACACACACACAGGCAGAACTGGTTTGGCTCTGTTCCGATGAGTCACCTGGCCCTTCCACTCCTGAGGTATTTCTCTTCCCAAACATCTCACCCCACTGCAAAAAAGATGGAAATACAAGGTTTTTTGGGGTTTTCTTCTAACACACTCGTGTAACAGTTCAGCTGTCTTCCTATTCCATCATCTGCTAGAATTTGACATAATTTTTCTAAGTCCTTTTTAATCATATCTATTACGAAGCACAAATGAAGCCAAGCCAAGGACTGAAAATGACTGACAAGAGGACACAATCACAAAGGCAATAAAACCAGACACAGTGACAGTCACAGTCCCTAAAATTGCCCAGTAATCATAATTTACATGACCAGGAAAGAATCTGGGTTTGGTTATGAGGAACCAAACACAGGAAACACAGCATTAGGAATGCTCTATTAGCTTTAATTTAGGATTTTCCCCTAACCGGTCTTTGAAGGGGCTCCACCGGATTAATAAAGGACTATGAATAGCCAAGAGTTCAAGTCAGGCATAAACCTGTGTAAACAGCACCTCACTCCTTTGTGGTTTGTGGGAATTATTCATCAAGTCCTGACCACAATGAGATGACGAACATCTCAGAGTCAGGAAAGCACAGGTTAGATTTTGATCCAAACACTGAGGATTCTGCTAGGGAATAAACTACCAACGGATCAGAGATAATATTTGGCCCTGCATTTTCACTTGATTAAAACGTAAGCCAGTAGCAACAGAAAAACTATAAAACAGAATTTAAGCATCCAATGGATGCAGCTTACAAGCAGGTTTTCTCTTGTTTAGTAAGGTGTGACTTAATTCCAGGAAACTCCTCAACTTTTATGCTTTGTGATCTTTCACAATGGGTTGCACAAAGAGCTTCCCTAGAGACATTTCCTCATCTGTTAGACAGAAGAAATACTAATGCTTGTAAAAGGAAAAGTGCTAAACATTATTTACCCTGTATGGCAAGCATGCTCAGAACAGGTCTGCTTCAGTAAACTCGTTCAGGTTTGTCAACATCTTTACTGTAAGATACACACACACGCACATGAAGGCGCAAACACCATGTAACTGGTCAATACAGTAGAAGAGAATCTCTCCCTCTGTGTAAAACCAAACAAAACCCTACAATGGAACTTTACAAAGGAGTAGACAGAAGAGAATGACACAATTCAGAGCAAGAGCCTTACTCAGGTTTGGCAGCATTGCTACTTCCAGCCCCTTGGCGAAGTGGACGGTGGCATCGTAGAGCTCCAGCAGCTTGGTCAGTTTGGTCTCTTGGCCCGTTCTCTCCAGGGCAGTGCCGAGGCAGACAGGGATGGAAGGCACCAGCGCTCCCAGGGTTTGGATCAACAGCACAGTCACAATTTCATAGGGGTTCTTGAAAACCTGGGGTAGCAGAAAAGCAGCTTATCTCAGAGGAAGACGACAGGCAGCGGAGATCAGCCCAGAGCTTCCCGAGAGCCCCCCCGCATACAGACCCCCGGCACGGGCCCAGCAGGTCCTGCCTGCCCAGGGGCTGTGTCCTCCCTCAGCCCTCCTGCAGGCGAGCAGCCTGCACACAAGCAGCACCCCTTCCCCGGGGCAAGCAGATGTCCTTGGGCTCCTGGAACAGAGGGACAGAAGAGGCAGAACTGAGGGGGCTGCAAATGCTGTCAGCAGGGAGGCTGACATAACCAGGGCAGAAAGACTTGGGAGAAAAAGCAGCAGCAGCCCAGCCTGGACTTTTCCACACCCAGCATGGAAAACTGCTTCTTTCTACTAAAGAATTAATATAAAATTACCTATTGGTGAGAGACAGTGATATACAGATCATGAAGATGACATTTTGTGCAGCGACAGACCACAGACCTCAGATAACATGAGCTCCCCACCAAAAGGGAACAAAAACAAACAAGGAAAACCTCTCAAGGGGTGAAAAAAACAACAAAAGAGGTCTGCTAAGACTGCAGGAACCTCACTGACCTAGCACGCAGGACAGCCTGAGTACAAAAGTCTAGGTCAATACATATTTACCACTGAAACTGTGCGTTGAATACAGCAGCCAAGAAACTGGAAGACAGGTGTAGGTCAAAAACTGAATTCAGCAGAACACAGGCACTACGGTAATTTGACAAACCACCTGGCAGAAAAGTGCATTTGAAAACAGAGCACTCAGTTTACTCAGGTGTGTTGGGAAAAACACTCATGTATTGGTAAAACATGTAGAAAGAGTACTACATCACAATCCAAATTACTGGTCAGGCAGAAGTCACTACTGGAAAGACTATAATCAGCTGAGAACTTGTATTTACATGCACTATCCTCAACTCCACCAGCAGAAAATGCATTACAGCCTTTTATTGTGCCTTTTTTGTCGCTCATTTGCTTTGAAAGCTGGGGTCACCATGAAAAAGATCCAAGGATTCTTCAGAAAGCAGAAGCAACACGGGAAATTGAGTGACAGGAGCTCTGCCCCGTGCGCCATTTCTCTCTCACAATCCCCAGTTCAAAGAATGTCAGCTTACATTTTAGCAGATATCTGGCCTGTAATCCACATCGAAACATCAGGCAGAAAAAATACATTTCAAGGAAACACTGAGCTGCTCTGCAGCACAGGCCTCGCGCTTGCACCAGGCTTCGTACCATGAAGATAAGGATCTCTTACCCTTCATGGATGAAAAACTCTTACAGGCTCAACAATATGAACTTATTTCTCCATTTCACTAAAGGAAGACAACTTCTTTGGATCCTACATTATTCTTGGCAGGAAAAACAAGTACACAGACTCCAAGGGGTGACAGCAGAAGCCCTCAGATATCTTAGAGAGTGACATGAATCAGCCCAGTATGACCTTGAGGGCTTCCTCCAGGCCAAGTGATAAAGCAATTCAGGCATTTCAGATGTTTTGCAAGAGAGCACATTTGCAACACCAACAAATTAGATTTAACTTAAGATACAGATGAAAGCGATAGAGCAGCTTTAATGTCAATAACACAGCAACCTTGCTGCTGGTGGAACACCAGAGATCAAACTTCGTCTGCAAGAGCTGGACAAGAAGCGAGCAGGTCCCAAGCCCCGTCTCGCTCTGACGAGGCACAGCAGGAGCACCGATGAGAATTAAGAGGGTGCTGGGCCTCGTCCCCCCCCCACCTGCCCCGACACCGAGAGCTCACTGCACCTGTGTCGCCCACTGCAGCTGCGAGTGCCAGGTCCCGAGCAGCGTGTCATACAGCTCAGTCAGCTGGCGGTTTAAGCTCAGGTCACTCTGGCAAAGATCCTGCCACACTGCCACCAGCTGCACCTGCGGGGGTAACAGGAACCGTTCTGAGAGGAGAGCTGCCAGCCCACAGATCTTTTATTAGTTCAAACCAAGAACTTCCAGGCAAAGAGCTTTTGCTAAAACACAATGCCCACCCTCGCTCCAGATTTCAGCATAACGTTTTGCTACAATTCTGCACCACAGAAGGAAAAGACCTTCAGCGTGAAGCTAGAGGCTTCTTAGTTGATTCAAAGATTTAATTAACATTGGTATTTACTCATAAAATGAGACTGTAACCGATACCCCCACATAATAGTTGAAATACTTGGCAAGCCCCAGCCTTGAACTTAATCCTCAAAAGTCACAGTCATGAGAGAAATTTGAGGATCGGGTTATGGCTACCGAACTGTCTGGAATTCCAACTTTTAATCTTACCTGAAAAGAGTTTACAGAAGTCAGCAGCTGGCAAGTTGCAGCAATAAAGTTATTGCTGACATAGCCAAATCCAAGAAAAGCAAAGCATAACTATAAGGCACAGAGAAATCAAGCAGAACGCACATATCCTATGTCTGCTGTGGGAAGGAACGCAAAGCCCTGAATGGGGAATTACTCTTGAAACACGGGGAGTAACCAAGGCTGTTAAGAGCCAGGAAGAGAAGTCAGAGGATGAAACATGGAAAAGAACAGATTCCATCCTCCTTCCACCAGGAAAGGTAAAATACATGATGTAGCAGCTCCCTCTACAGTCCAAGCCAAGCAAGAATCCAAATTTTTATTCCTCCAAATTAAAATATTATCAAAATACTTACCTTGTGACATTTATAATAATAAGCGAGAAGCTGGGGCATCCGATCAATTTCGGTGAAGACTTTAACAAACGTTTTTGCCTGATCTAAACAAAACAAAATAGGCAGTTAACAGTCAGTCCCAGTCAGAGGGTGAGACCTTAGTCTAATGGAGCAAGAGAATTCTTCTAAGGGAGAATGCACAACAGCCTACACAGAAAGCCACACTTCCACCTCTGGTTTGCTGATCTCAAACAGGAGCAGAACCACCCAAACTCACTCAAACAAGAACGGGTAGCAGACACGAAGAAGGAATTTAACTTCTTACACTTCTTAAGCAGCAAATGTAGTATTAAAGACAGGTAAAACCAGAGCATTTCCTCGGAGGAAATGGTTATTTTCCAGAGACAAGCCGCTATCTCCAAAACCAGAACATACCCCAGAGTCCTGAGCTCCGCTTTCACCACTCCCCAAGCTGACACCCAAGCTAAGGGCACAGTCAGCTCTCACACAAAGCCCTGAAATCCCAGGTCCCCCAGAGTCGCTTTCGTACTGTGAGGGGGATGACTACAGTTCTGTCCACAAAATACAGCTGGGCTTAGAGGAATCAGTAACGAGACCTTGATTTTCGAACAGGACCCAGAAGGCAAAGAAACCAGCACATGAAGGAACTCGAAGTGTTCTTCAGCTGTGGAAGCCACCGAATACGGACGCTCTGGGGATATGTTTATGGACTTGTATTACATTTATAGGAGCTGGGCTTCAGGAAAAAAACATTACTTCAGAGTAAACACAGAAACTCTCTTCAATGGGAAAAAAGCCAATGTCTCCACATGCCCAGTATAGATTTTAAAAGAGAATGCAAAGAGTGCCTAAAGGGAATTATTCTGAAGGGTACGCCCAAAGGACCTCACACCAGCAGACCTGCTGCCAGCGGCTTTCTTCCACCTAAACGTTTTCTTTGGTGGAGAACTCACAGAGCGTATGAATATTCAATTTACTTTCATCCTACGCTGAGAAAATATTCCAAAACGTCATCCTTTGCCTTGAATTTGTCTGTAAAGGGTAATGTACTGCAACAGAAAAAAGGCGTGGGACCCACTGTGAAGGTGACAAGCACAGTCCAAGGAAGGAAAGGAGGCTGTGTAAAGAAAAGCAGGAAGAGGAACGGGAGGGAGAAGAGGAGAGAGACCTAGGCAAAGGATGAAACACATCTGTTAGAAACGCAGCAGACAGAGCTCCTTCCCCCGGGCTCCCTCCCGTGGCCGCAGCCGCGCAGCACAGCAGAAGCACCGCGGCCCGGGTCCTCCCCGGGACCTCGGGGTGCGGGCAGAGGGGAGGCAACAACCAGGACAAGCGCTGGGACAACAGGAGAGGGAAGGAGGAGCACAAAGAACAGCCCCACAAGTCAAATCTTCTAAAGGAGAGTTTATAAAACCAGCTTTCACAAGGTAGTAAGGAGTCAGGATGTTTCCAAACAAACTTCCTTCTTGATTACAACCCCAAGCTGTAAGAGAAATGCCCAGCAGCACTACAATAACGCAAAACCAGAGGCCTTCTGCTTACTTGAGCAGCGCTTCCCACCTGGAGAGCATCCACGGTGTAACTAAACTACGACCCCAGGGCAGCCCTGCATCACCACCTCCATTCCACACATCTTCATGGCCTGTAAAAGCAGCTCACGTTTTCCTTATTCCCCACAGTGCCTACAGATACACCAAACCGCAGGAAAATCAAACATCCACTGGACCGCAGAGCACGTGACACTTCACGGCGTCTGGCTCCACAGAAAAGCACACAGCCCAGCGCCAGGAGCCTTCAGGGCAAACCGCCCACCCGAACAACATTGTACGTTTTGAAGACAATAAACCCCGATAGCAAACGGCACCAAGAGTCACTGACCTACAGACTGGGAGTTAAAAGCAGCAACAATCTGAGGGCTGGCCATGGCCTCCAGGCGGTTCTTCAGCGCCTCGAGGTGCACACACTTCTCGGAGTAGTCCGGCGTGTCCACGAGCATAGCCAGGCTGCTCTGCATGCTGGTTAGTTTGGCCGAAATCACAGACACATCCTGCCACAGGGAAAGGCAACCCACTCACCAAACACGACCTCAGAAAGCATTAATACCTGTTCCAAAATGACGTTTTACAAACAAGTACACGTTTTAGAATCCCTTCAAAAACTTACTGTTAAGTGCAGTTTCTCTGGACAGCTTAAGGCGCAAAGACTAAGAAAAGTAAGGCGTAAGTACCTGTGTTTTAAGAGTCTCTTCAATGTCTGCACTTAACGTGCTCCATTTGTCTGCTTCCTGAAGCGACTCGGCAGCCAACTGCATTCTAGATTTCACTCGGTCAATCTCTACCAGGACCTGAAGAAAAAAAAAAAAAAAGTTGCCTATTGAAAAGATAACTGTCACAGATACTTGTATTATGGGAGCTGGTTTAAAAAAGGCATGAAATGATCACGCTGTCACAAGGAGGAGGGAGTTGGGTCAAAGAGCTAGAGATGTTAAATCAACTTCCAAAGTCAAACAACAAAAGGTCAGTTTGGTTTCTGGATTTGTACTTTTAGTATCCCCTTTGCCTCAAAGATGCTACACACCCCAGGTAACAACAGGCAGAAATCAGTGTCCCCAGTCAAGCAACAGCAACTCTGCACGGAGCCACGATCAGCTGTGCCTGGGGACATGCAGATCCCACGGCTCTGTGTCACACCCACTGTCCTACCATCAGTGGTAGCAGTGGGTTTCTCGAGTTCCCAGGGTTGTTTAATACAAACAACTCTGGCAACCTCAGAATTTCACAACTTGCAGATAAATACAGAGCAAACCATGAACCTACCTGCATTGACTGAGCTGTGTCTTCTTCAAATTTCTTGATATCTTCTTTAACAAGGATCATTTGCTCCTTCAGGAACGTCGCCTCCTGTTTCAAGACTTCCACTTCCCGGAGGACTCTGGGCATGTTCTGGAGAGCCTGGTGGCTCGTTTCTAGAGAAACACCAAGCGGTACAGTGGGGAGGGCCTGAGGACCCTTGCAGGAAAGGGGGGTTTTCAGTAATTTTATGTAATCATTAATACTTTTTTAAAAAAAATACAGGAAAACAAACAACAAAACAAAACACTAGACCACAAAACTTTAGTTCTATCTTTAAAAGTTAAATATGTACTTTATCACGGAATCATCTGGGTCGGGAAAGACCAAAGACCTGTGAGCTGGGGGGTGCGAGCGTTAAGCTCCGGCCGCCCAGCCCTCCCCCGGAG